TCCTCCTCTTCCTCCTCCTCCTCTTCCTCCTCCTCCTCTTCTTCCTCCTGCTCCTCTTCTTCTTCCTCCTCCTCTTCCTCCTCCTCCTCTTCCTCCTCCTCCTCCTGCTCCTCCTGTTCTTTACCTTCATCTTCTCCCTGTTTTCATCTCTGCTGACAACATGACTCCAGGGCAAACCACATGAAGCATACACCATGCTCAAATTAAAAAGGAAGTGAGTCCTCTTAAAATGGAACATTTGCCAAGAAAATTCTGGAAGCCTTCAAGGAGAATACAGTTTTTGTCTTTTAAGTGGCAGGGAATGTTCTCTAGTGATTTTCAGGCTGAACAGAAATCAGCGTGGTAGAGCAGAGATAAACCTGCCCCTAGCATGCTGAGTCACTGTCACTGCCTAATAGTGTTTACTGGAATGACCTTCAATTCAAATGAGAACCACAAAATACCAGTAATTTTATCTGGGGAATATTTATATTTTGGTGCAGTAGGTGAATTCCTAATTAAAGGGCATTATTAGAGGCAATTTTTCCCAAAACTAAATGTGGTTTCTTCCTATCTAAGTCTCATATTTCTAATTGGACCTTAACTTTGAAAGAAAATATTTTTGATTGGGTTTTAAAAATTCATTCATTCTCCATTTCCTCATAACTAAATCTCATGAATAGTACTTAATAAAGAATTTGTCCAAGAGGCCAGGGTGATAGCTCAATGGAATAAGTGCTTGCCTGGCAAGTACAAGGTCCTGAGTTTGATCCCAGGTACCACCAAAAAAAAAAAAAACTGGAGAATCACTGCTAGTCAGATCTACATAGTGAGGCCCTGTAGACCCTGTCCTAAATAAAGGAAAAAAAAAAAAAAAAAAAAGGAATTTATTCTGAGTCCCAAAATCCTTTAACACAGATTGACCCAGTATTTTGTTTTATTGTATTTTTATTTTTTAGGTAAGTTTTTGCTATACAGTTCAGGCTGATCTTGAACAGAAATTCTCCCAGCTCAGCCTGCCAAATGCTGGATTACAGGCATGTGTCTCCATGTCCAGCCAACCCAGAATTTTCTACTTTAACTTGCTTATAGTCTTTTGGGTTCAGTGACTGAGTAGCTGCGTATCATGGAAAGCCAGAGCACTGAAAATAGTCTCAATGATAGCATTGAAAACATACGATTCTTCTAAAGTCTTCTCCCCTTCAGTAGCCCAAAGGGTAAGCTGCATGCTTCAGGGTGGAAGAAGTCCAGGGAACCACTCACCACTCTTGGCATACAGTTCCCACTCTCAATTCAGAAGTCTTTCGAACACTTCTGCCTTCTGGACTTTTCAGGAGTCTGTTTTCTGGCTAGCTGCAGAGTCTTGTGGCGCTTTGAGTAGGGCTTCACAGCCTTAGTGTAAGTAGCATCTAGGGCTTCCCTGAATCTGAGAGTGAGTCAGAGAATAGGGTCCTTGGAAACTGAAGAGCAACAGCTCCCGAGAGCTGTACGGATCACATACTCCCACAGTGACTATAATAGAACTTAAGATGCTGATGATCTGATTAGAATCACCCCAAAGCCATCCTCATTCTCAATAATTTAAGATAGAACTATTTATTTTGGTGTTTCATGGGGAGACTTTAAACACAAGAACCACTAACATCTTCTGTCATCCCAGAACAGGTACATGCTGGGGCCTGAAAGCACAGCTGAGAATTAAGCAAACCAGGTGCCTGTCCTCACAGTTCAGGGGCAATTCCAAGTGCTGCTTTGCCAATATCAATCCAACACTACCGCTGTGTCGTGAGACTTGGGGGTTCACAGATGGATCCTCCTGATGACCCTACGAAAGCGACCTTTGCTATTAGATCAGCAAAAGTGCTATTAAGTTCTTCAGCTTCTCACACACCAGCCATAACAAAGTGACCAGGCCCCCTTGCTTCAGCTCCCCACTCCTCAAAGAGTATTGTCACTGAGGACAGGCAGAAATCTCCATCATAGGCATGGGAGTGTGCAGGAGGGATGGGGCAGTAGCTTAAGCTAGAAAACGCATCTGTGCACATGACAGTCACTGGCCTCTTTGTGTTTACCTTCACGGCTGGCCCAAGACCCACTCAGGTTGAATGGGGAAAGTCTTGGTGTTGACCTGAGGAACAGAAGCTCAGGTGCCTTCCACCGGTGACAAACAGCTTTATTTTGGTAAACAGGGACAATGCCAGCATCGGTTCTCTGAAGCCTGACCCCAGCCCTTCCTTCCTGTCCCCGCTGTCTTAGCCACCATCCTGGCTTGGGCTTAATAATTCAGTCACACACATGCTATTTTAAGTCTCCAACCACCTTAATGGCATATTCAGACTCTCATTCCATGGATTTGAAATTAACTTGCTCAATCCCCCACAACTGTGAGCCCAAAGCCAACATTCAAGCCTAGACCCTCAGACTCCAAACCTATCCAAAGTTATCTGCTTCTAAAATGTCGCTTCTTCTTTCTTTTTGCATGTAGCCTCAGGTATGTCCTGGTGGGAAGCTGCCTTACAACCTGCTGGTTTTCTCCAGGAGCTCTGGAAGCAGCCACTGATGGGACAGGACTTGTGGCTGCACCCCTCCCACTCCAAGCCTGTCCCCCAGTGTGAACCGCTCAGCCAGATTGCTGTCCCCAGCCTCCCTTGCCTCCCACATGGAATCCTATAGCTGTCATGGGTGCCTGTGGGTCTATTTTTAGAAACAGAAGGGAGCACGTGGGTGGTACACATGGATATTTTCTAGGAGTCTATTAATATTATTTGGTGAAGAACCCAGAACTTTAACTTGACTGATTTCAAGATAAATTGCCTCTTAAGGAAGACAGCCTTTCCGTGCTTTTCCCTTGACCGCTCCCCATCCCTGGCATAGGTGATATTCGGACTTTGTTGTTCTGCCCCCTAGGGCTTGTCCTTATCTCCTGGTGCTCAAAGACAGGGATATTAATAGCTAGCTGCAGCTACACTTGAGTTTTTGCCAAGAAGGCCAAAGAAGGAAACAGATTCATATTCTCTCTCCTCTCTCTCTCTCTCTCTCTCTCTCTCTCTCTCTCTCTCTCGCTCTCGCTCTCGCTCTCTCGCTCGCTCGCTCACTCGCTCGCTTACTCTGTCTCCCTCCCTCCCACCCTTCCTCCTTCTCCCTCTCTCCCTCTCTCCCTCCTTTTCTTGACCTCTCTCTGACATTGCCAGTGCTCCTTAGGATCCTTCTGTAGCAGGAAAAGCTCTTTTAAAGATCTATTCAAATGCCTGTGAGTGAGTTCTATGCTCCTTAAAAATCTCTTTGTGTCACTGATTCTATCCTATGGCACATATGATATTTTGAGGATAAGAGAGTAGCCAGACAGAAAGTGGGCAAAATTGATTTTGTGAAATTGAAACAGTGAGAGATTAGAATACACAGATGAAGCCATTGTCCTGGGGACACAACTGTGCCATTTATATTTTTAAAAAACCACCTCTGAGCAGCAGTGTTGCTTTGCTTTACTGGGTTGATGGTAATTAAAATGCAGACACTGAAAATAAACATGTCTTTAGGATTAGCTTTTTGATTAGGAGTGTTACTCCTAATATTGTTTCTTCTAATTGTATCAGAACAAGACAGAACCAGTTTGCTTTCAGAGGGGTTCAGCCATGACAGTGACAGGCACTCACAACCTGGGGGGCTTCTCCAGTTCGAGCAGGCTTTTCTGCAAAACGAACCTAGTGTCGCGAGACTATAAAACCAACTGAGGCTAAGATGAAATGCCAGAGAAAGGATCTGCAACTTTCTCTCCAACTGAACACTATTAGCCTTGTCAGGAAGATGATTATTTTTATAGACACAACAAATTCTTGGACCAGATCCCTACTCTCTGTAACTCTCTGTGAATGTAGGGATCAGGACCTGCTGTACCGCAAGCCAAGAGACCACCTGGTAAACCCAGGAAACCATCAAAGAGCCTCTGCTGTCCCAGGCCTCTTTCTCTGCTCCTTTCATTGCCCACACACCCCTCACCAGGCTTGGAAAGCTGGGCCTGTCTTTCTCCTGCCCTCCTCACTGCCTACAAATGCCCAAGGCAGTAGTGGGGAGAGACTTCACATTTTTGCTAAGAACTTTAAGAGGAAGCAAAGACAAGACACAAGCTGGACCTCCCACTTACTGGGTACAAAAACTCTTGCTCTTCATTGCTAAGGCCCAAACCCAAGGAATGAACAACAATAGGCTGAGAGCATCTTCTTACATAAACACAAAATGAACACAAGTGGATATTATTATTTTATCTCTCTGACCAGTTCACAGAGCAGCTTTAAAGAAGGCCCAAATACTTACATAATAAGAACTTGTATTTTCTTTCTCACTTGAGTTTGTGGGTTTACTTGGTAATCAAATATCAACATCATTTTTGCTTCAATTATGCTACAGTTCTCAGCCTTCTCAGAAAGACCCACATGCACTTTGGGACTATCTTGATCCCTCTGTAAACTGCATCTGTGTTGCCAAGGACTATGACAAATCACTGGGAACTGTTGGCTGTCTCTCTCCAGGGCCACCCTGTACTGCTTGTGGCTTTCCAGAGCTCTGAGTCAGTCCAGCCCCAACCCCTTCCCACCCTGTCTCCAGTGTCACTAAGTTACACCTTGCCATGTCAACTGGTTCTGTGGAAGCCTCCACTGAGCAACAGAACCCAGCAAACTCAGAGGACTTGGGTAGAAAGACAGTAACTAGTTCATTCTATCAGCATCCAGGTGAGGGAATTAGAGAAACAGCCAACAGGCCTGTGAAAGAGCCCATCTTGAGCCAGACTTCTCCCAACAGCATCTTGCTGATGTGTCTGATTGGTCCCTGGACACAGTACCTGGTTCCCCAGGACAACAGTCAGAATTCACACGAGTTACTAAAGACTGCCTTTCACTTTGACATCTATCTACACAAAGGGAGAGGCCCCAGGGTTAGTGATTCATAATCCTTGATGGGAATTTCTCCATCAAGTTTCTCCTGGCTGAATATGTAGAACACATCGTCCAAATGACTTCATAACTTGGGTTGCCTGGTTTTTCTTAATCACATCGGTCTTGTCCATTGGTACACCTCAGTAGCGCACCTTGCTCAGGATGAATGCTCAGAAACATTAGTTCTGAGGTCAACATTAAAGTCTCTTCCCTTTTACAACCTTGGGTACCCCCATCTTCCTCAACAGAGTGACATCTGAGGCAGGAGTGGCGAAAATTGGTTTCCTTACGGAAAAAACCATCCAAGAAGACATATTTATCTTTAATAGATGCTGCTGCATGTCATATTGAACAGGCCCCAGTTCAAATTGCTATATGGAGCAGCCATGTGACTTGAGTGTGTCATTTCACCTTTATGGGCCTTCGAACCTCACCTTAAGTGGGCACAAGGATGCGATGAGTTCTCAAGTGTCTTTCGAACAAGCCCACTGCCTGCCGCCATGGTTGTGCAGCCGGATTTACCCTGAACTCAGTGGGATTCAGCTCTAGGAAGGTGCTCCCTGCAGGAGGCGAATGCTTTCAGCACTAGCACTGTGTGTGCAGGAACAGGAAGAACAATGTTGAACAGCCTTTAGAAAGGCCAGGATTAAGAAAGTGTGGCTCTTCCCCCAAATTAGCAGCAATTGGTGACCGGCACACCTAAGGGCAAAAAAAATTCAAAATAAAAACATCAACCATTGACTTTGTTTCTGTTTAAAGGGAAACTGCCAAGGATGCAGAAGGAAATGAAGATGGTCAAAGACGAGGATGCACGTTTCAACTTGGGTGTGAAGAGGGTCCCGTCCTTTGTCCACTGCCTACAGCCAGCGGCTTCCCGGGGGAAGGCGCCCCTGAGACACCCCCTTCCCGAAGCCCTCCGAGGGCCATTCTCCCAGTTTCGATACGAACCCCCAGCAGGGCATCTGGATGGGTTCCCGGGGTCCTTCGAAGGAGGCGGGTCCCGCAAGCGGAAGAGCGTACCCACCAAAATGCCCTACAGCCACGCAGCCCAAGAAGCCCTGCTCGGCCTCCCCGCGGAGGAGAGCAACGCTCACGGGCCGGCCGGCCTCCCTCTGATCTTCCCGCAGCCCCCGCGCCCCAAGTGTGACTCGCAGATGATCGATCTATGCGACGTAGGCTTCCAGTTCTACCGCGCGCTGGAGCCGCGGGCCGGGAAGCCGGTCAAGCAGGAGCCCGGCAGGCAGGAGCCCCTCAAACCCAGCGCCCTGTGGCCGCAGCCGGTGCCCCCGGCCTTCCTGCCCACGCCCTACCCGTACTACCCCAAAGTGCATCCCGGCCTGGTGTTCCCCTTCTTCGTGCCGGCCACCTCGCCCTTCCCCTTCGGCCGGCACCCCTTCCTGGCCAAGCAGCCCACTGAGCCACCACCGCCGCGCAAAGCGGAGCCCGCAGAGAACGAGGAGGCCAAGCAGAAGGTGGAGAGGGTGGATGTGAACGTGCAGATCGATGACAGTTACTACGTGGATGTGGGCGGCGCGCAGAAGCGCTGGCAGTGCCCGACCTGCGAGAAGTCCTACACGTCCAAGTACAACCTGGTGACCCACATCCTGGGCCACAGCGGCATCAAGCCGCACGCGTGCAGCCGCTGCGGGAAGCTCTTCAAGCAGCTCAGCCATCTGCACACACACATGCTGACGCACCAGGGCACGCGGCCCCACAAGTGCCAGGTGTGCCACAAGGCCTTCACGCAGACGAGCCACCTCAAGCGCCATATGATGCAGCACAGCGAGGTGAAGCCGCACAACTGCCGCGTGTGTGGCCGGGGCTTCGCCTACCCCAGCGAGCTCAAGGCGCATGAGGCCAAGCACGCGAGTGGGCGGGAGAACATCTGTGTGGAGTGCGGCCTCGACTTCCCCACCCTGGCGCAGCTGAAGAGACACCTCACCACACACCGGGGCCCCATCCAGTACAACTGTTCCGAGTGCGACAAGACCTTCCAGTACCCCAGCCAGCTGCAGAACCACATGATGAAGCACAAGGACATCCGGCCCTACATCTGCTCTGAGTGCGGCATGGAATTCGTGCAGCCGCACCACCTCAAGCAGCACTCACTCACCCACAAGGTACTGTGAGGGGAGAGAGGGGGCCGGGGCGGGCTGCTGGGCCTCCCGGGACAAAGCAGAGCCTCCCTCACCCTACCTTAGAGGACTGGTAGGTGACAAGGCCATCAATGAAGCCCTGTCCCATGTAAGGTGGACCTGGCAGCAAAGAATGCAGCAGACATTTCGAAAGAGAGCAAGGGGTGGTGGTGGTGATTATCACGCTGTTGCTGCTGCTGCCTAGTCCCCAAGAATCCCCAGAATTTTGTTTCTAAGGACTTCATTCTGGCCACCAGCTTCAGTGTGGCATCCTATCCCCCGAAGACCTGGAACATTCTAGGCCTTTGCAGCTACCTTTCCAGTTGCTTGCTGAGACCTGCTTCATGCACAGTCCTGCCCACCTGGGTTCAATGGCCTGTGGTTGGTACTGTAGAAGGCAAGAGGAAGCATCCTTCTCTGTTTGCTTTGGTTTTATGTTCCCTGAGCTCAGTTCTTTAGGAATTTATTTAGTACCAGGGATTGAACTCAGGACCTTGTGCTTGCCATGCGGGCTCTTATGCCACTGAGGTATCTCTCCCGCATGTGCTTATTTAGAATTTTTTTTTCTGAGCTCAGTTCTTCAAGGAAGGGCCAGGGAGATGGCTCAGTAGGATAAGCGCTTGACTGGCAAACGCAAGGAGCTGAGTTCAGTCCCTGGTTCCGCAAAAAAAAAAAAAAAGAATGGTCAGTTCTTCAAGGAGATTTTCGGGACTTAGGGTCTAAATTTAACCTTGTTTGTAAGCAAACCCTGGAATCATTGAGGATGAAAACAAGGCTTTTGTGGCATCCTGAAATCTTGCCTTGACTGAGCTGACTTGAGTCTGCTTTGAGCTACCAAAAGGAGAGTCCTGCCTCACTGAGCTCTGCCTTCACCCTTGGGCTCGGTGGTTTTCTTGGCACAAAAAGATTGCTAAGAAGCTGAAGTCTCGTTACAACATTCTTTAATTTTGAAAGGTCAGTGACAGACTTTGCCCAGCCAAGCAAATGCTTCTGCTCTATTCTAATAGGCTTCATTTGTTTGAACACAACACAGGGCATTTTCTGGCCCTACAGCAGAAATGAAGGGTAGGGCCGCCCATGGGCATGGCACAAGCAGCTCCTGCCCTACAGAAGACACCTGCCAATACCATCTGAGGGGAGCTGCTTGCCAAATGTAGGAGCCATCAATAAAGGTACCTTGAGGTTCAGCCACAGAGAGAACCCTTTGCATAGTCCAGGGGCTCCTGCCCATGTTCACGAGGTACATTGTGCTTCCTTCACAAGGCATCACATAGCTAGTGTTTCCATCACAAGGGTATATTTTAGAGCCTACACGTTCTGTAAGATAGTAGACAATGAAGCCAAACTAGAACCAACAGTCTGGTACCTGAAATAAGTTTATTTAAATCAGAAAACAAATCCACTGTAATGAGAGACATCAGACAACAGTGAGAAGTCGAATTTATTGAAGACTTGTTCCATGGCACTTGCTTTACTCCTTCTAAGACACTTATTCATTTCACAGCAACTTTGAAGGTGACACCTGACTTACAGATATAGACAGCAGGGCTTGGGAAGGCCCCTGCGGAATCCCCGATACCAGTGCCTGAGTCTAAAACACTTAGCCCCCAAAGACTGCCCCTTTTCCAGACCCTTCCCTCCCTCACCCCCATCTCCCCCTGGGCACCCTCCCAGTCCCTTCACTGTTCCTGTCAGACACAACAGCTTCCTTTGCAACTCCAAAGCTATGGCTAGGTTCCTAGTCTCTTGTCTGTTATACCTGCCCTCGTATGCACCTGATTCTGGGTACAAAATTCTCTCTAAGAAAATCTAAAAGCAGTGATGTGTGGCAGCATCTTGAACTGGGACAGCTGGATCATACCCTAGCCCAGAGGACATTTCTTTGTTGTTCTAAGATCAAATCAAGTGCTTCATGCTTGCTGTACATGTACTGGGCCACTGATATTCCTTGTCTCCAGAGAATATCTAGAGAGAGGAAAATTTCAATAGTAAAATTTGAAGCCTGTCAAGAAAATATTGATTGATTTTATTGGTTTATTGATTTCATAGTATTAAACTCACTGAATATGCAATACATTTAAAAATTGATTTTCTAAAAAGACATTAAAATTCAATTTTTGAAGGGGATTGACTCTTACTCCTTGTAGTATAAATCCATGTTCATCCCCAAAGACAAGAACATGAGCCAAAAAGAACTCCAGGGTTCTGAAGACCCACCTCTTTGTCTTGAGAAGTCTATGCCAGGATAGGACCTGGGTAGATAAGGGTTCATAGTCGGTAAGTAGCTAAGCAGAGATCTGAACCTACCCTTTAGTACTAGGGACTCACCAAAACCAAAGAATGATCCTGGCTTTCCATGCCAACAGTTAAGTCGATGCAAATACAAGCAGTCGGGACTGAGCTTGGAATGAATTCTTTCCTCCTTAAGTCACTATGAACACCAGAAAATATGGATTTTTCAAAGTTGGTTCTTTTAGTAATTTTTTCTAATCAGTCCTATAAGAATCATTTTGGTACCCAGGTTCTCTGAGTTTTCCTTTTCATCAGTTACTTTGGCTGGGCCTAGTGGCACACTCCTGAAGTCTCAGCTACTTAGGAGGATGATGGGGGAATCACATGAGCACTAGTTCAAGACCAGCCTGAACAACACAGAAAGACTCTGATTCAAAACAAAAGAAAACAAGGTCGTTTTAGATCGAGGCCCTCTGCATGGGCATTTTCAGGGAAGCACTGTTTACTCAGGTTCAGCTAATAGTCTACTCAGCTGTGAGTTTCTGGAAATGCTCTGAAGGTATCAGTGCTCAGGTACACAAATAAGTGCTAAGGAAACTAGACAACCTCCTGCCCTGCCTTGTAATTCAGAATGCTGTCACCTCCTACAACTGCCCATCAGAAGGAGTTCAGTTAGAAAAGACTCCAGAGCCATGGCACGCGGTTCACTATGGCTTGGGTGAAGCCCAGGGACCAACTGGAGAGGGTGATTACCGAGTTGTGATCCACAGGAGTGAAGATAAGTTCTTCCGGGATTTTTTGAGTCCATTAATGAGAACTCAAGAGGACATCAGTTTTCATGTGGGAAATGATAATATCAGTTTAGATTCTGTGTTTTCATTATTGTGAAAGCTAGATTATAGATTCATTTTGCGTATCAGTCTGAAGTGCTCTTGCCTAAATCCTATTAATCCTTTAAGACTGTTATTGTAGAATGACCATAGGCAGCAATAGGAGCAACAAAAGCAATAGCTCTTTTTTTAAATAGTGGTCTGGCTACTCTCTGGTGTTCAGAAATGGAGGAAAAAGATTAGGTAATCTACACTTTTCAAGAAAAGAATAACAAGACAAATGTTACACCATTTGGACCTTGATTGAGCTCTTTGTGGATTATGTAGTGGGGAAGAAAACAAAGCCGATAGCCTCATGGAAGCCTGCTTCCCACTAACCACAGAAGTCTTGACTCTTGCCTCCCTACAGGGTGTGAAGGAGCACAAGTGTGGTATTTGTGGGCGAGAGTTCACTCTGCTGGCCAACATGAAAAGACATGTGCTGATCCACACCAACATCCGTGCCTACCAGTGTCACCTCTGCTACAAGAGCTTCGTGCAGAAACAGACCCTCAAGGCGCACATGATCGTCCACTCTGACGTGAAGCCCTTCAAATGCAAGGTGAGCATAAAGGGCAAGTTGGGGGGCTGTGCGCATGCTCAGGGATGTGAGCATGTCCACTGAGGAGTAGTCCCTGGTGAACCTTCTCGTCTGGTTCATCCGGGACATGGTGAGGCTCAGAGTAGGTCCGTGGCCAGCCCGGGGCCCATCTGCCACTCTGCCACTCTTTACACCACAGTTGTGCTCACATCAGCTCTTGGCTGGTCTCTGAGGAGCTGGGCCTGTTTGTGTCACTGTGATATCAGTGTCCAGGCATTCTGGGAAGCCTTGAGGATGGAAGGCCCATTTGAGAGTGGAACTGGCCAATGTGGAGAGCCCCTGCTTCAGAGCAGAGAACCTGGTGTGACCCTCTTCCCCGTATAAGCCAATGAGTAGAACAAAGTCAGAAAGGCTTCCGTCAGAATGCCCCTTTCCATTTATACTTTGAGATTTTTGTATAAGAAAAGCCATGTGATCAATGGATGCAGCTAGAGACTGAAATAAATGTGGAATAAATCAGAAAAAGAACCCTCCCTTTCCCCTCCCTCCCTCTCTCTCTTTCTTACATTGGGATTGAACTTTCTGATTAGAAGGCAGGCCTCCCAGCAGAGATGAAAGGGATCCTGGCAGGCTGGTTTCCTTCCCTGAAATATTCTTCCCTGTAATGCGATGGTTGGAGCTTATGGTAGCTGCAGCATTATTCACAATAGCCAAGATCGGGAATCAGCCTAGGTGTCTATCAAAGAGTAAATAGGTGGAGAAAATTTGGAATACTATTCAGCTATTAAAAGTAAAATACTGGGTTTTGTTTGTGCTTTTTTTTGTATTTTAGGGAAGGGTCTACAGGGTGTTCAGGGTCTCACTACTAGATCGGACTCATAGTGACTGGCCTGTTTACAGCCTCCCAAAAGCTGGGATTACAGGTGCATGTCACCATGCCCAGTCTCAATTGCCATCTCAGCGTGCTCTGGGGGCAAGGCCGACATGGCAGGCCCGATGTGGATGAGCCTGGAGGAAACAATGTTAAATGAAATAAGCCAAGCATAGAAACATACACCCCACCTCCATGGTCCCACTCATGTGGAAGCTAAATGAGTTGATCTTACAGAAGTGGAACAGTGGTTACCAGAGGCTGGGAAGGAGAGGAGAAAGAAGGCATAGAGAGGTTGTTGGTGGTGTAGTACAAAATATAGTTAGGAGGAATAAGTTGTAGTGTTGTATCACACAGTAAAATGATGAATGTAGCAATAATTTATCATATATTTCAGAATAACCCAAAGAAAGGACTTGAGTGTTCCCAACACAAAGAAATGAAAAATGTTTGAGAAAACAGTTATAGTAATTCCCCTGACCCAATCATCACACATTATAAAGATGAATACAAACGCCACAGTGTACCTCACAAGTGTGTACAACCATTGCATGTCAATGAAAATGTTACACAAATAGAGACAAAACAAAGGAATTCTAATGGTCGCCTTTCAGAGTACCTCTGAAGTACTTTCTTTGGCTAGGAGCACAGTTACCTAGAGTATTTTTATTCATTCCCAAGTGCCACATAGCACAGGAACTGAGCATCTTTGTTAAAATCTTGGTGTCAAGATTAATTTGGGTTTTATTTCATCAGCTGAGAAAATGTGTGTGTAGGAGAGTTATAAACCCCAAGGCACTAACTGGTGTTACTCAGAGTCTTCATGCTTTCCAAGGTTGTCCCAGCCCCTGACACTATCTCCTTCTCTATTTCTGAAAATAAGAGTCTCGCATATGATTGGGTAGCATAAGCTCTGTACAGGCAAGTGTCACCCCAGTTGCAAAGAAAGAGCTGGAAGGAGATAAGAGAAAAGCCACAGATAGACATCTGTAGTGGTCTTCTGCTTGAAATGGAAGTCTTCCTTCACTCTATCGCTGTGGGTTGAATGGGGTGCAATGACCCTCTCTTAGGTCCCTGAAGTAGGGCTCCCTGCTTCCTGGGGCTGTTGCTGTGTTCACTCCTCTGCAGAGTGGCCCCCTCTTGAAGGAACCCCCTGTGAAGTTGACTTCTTTCCTGTGCTGGCAACTCCTGGCCAGGGTGAGGGGTCAGGAACCAGAGCTTCCCTAGACGGTCTGTGTATTGTCCAGATGCGACAGAGGGAGGTTTCTCCCCCCAGCCCTTTTCCTGCCACCCACTTCTGTTTCCCTTCCTTTTCTCCAAGTTCCCAGTGGTTTGAAAATCAATTTATGCCCATCTTTAGTCAGCTAAGCTGAAAGGAGAGGAAGCAGCATGCAGAACTGGCTGGTGATTTTTGGACCCCAGTGCAAAATGGCAATGCAAGGCCCCTTCTTCAGACAGGATTAAGAACTACAAGGCAGTGAGCGCAGAGCATCAAATCCAACTCTGGACCCTCCTGGTTGGGGGGCCCTGTGCTGTACACCCCAGAGGCCAGGCCTGGCCACAGTGTGAGCCTGCTCTCTTCAGGTGTTTCTTTGATTTCCTTCTCTCTCTGCTGAGTCCCTGAAATGCTCCACTTCTGAAGCACCATTCCCTCCTGCAGGAGAAGTTCACTGTCTCCTACAGTGGAGGAGCAGGCAGGGTCTCTTTGCCATTCTTTATTCTCTGTGTTGTGTTTACTCTTGGGCTTCAAGCATGAATTATGTTTGTATCTTTTCAAATGGTCAGGAGTAAAGTTGTTAGAACACATAGAAAGTTATCTTCCTGAAGAAAATCCATACGTATCCATCCAGCCCAACCACTTGCCACCTAAGCTTCATCCATCCTGGTCCAGCAGTAATGGTACAACCAGGCAGGCAGTGCTCCTGAGGTGAGGGCTTTTGAGATTTGAGGGCAAAAGAGGCAGGTCTGCTTTTCCTCTGCCAAGGGCCTAGATTTCATGGGACAGATAGTGTCTGAGGATCTAGAGAATTCTCTGTGGTTCTGATAAACAGAAACTGCACAGAGCAACGCAGCCTGGGCCCATTCAATAGCTAGCCTCTCTTCAGGGGCAGCTGTCTCCTGCTCTACCCCATGACGGGGCACCATACCCCATCCCAGGAGTGTGCGACATCAGCTTGATGGCTCAGAAGCTCTGCTTTGCCTCTTCCCTGAGGGTTGGATTGACTGGATGTGTCTGGCCACACCAGCAGATCCCATGAGAGTGTGACGTGGAAGGCCAGCTGTGAAACCACGCACAGGTTCTGCTTCCCGAGAGGAGAGGGGCCTGGCACAGCAGTCAGACTGGTCATCGGCTAAGGGCACTTCTTCTGGTGGCCGCATCCTCTTAGGAAGTCATTCCTCCATAGGCGAGGAAGCCAGGCAGAGAGTGTTATAGGATAAAGAATTGGATGCTAAAGGGCATTTTTGTTGAATTTAGGTGACCTTTCTCTATCCTTAAACATCTCTGAAACAACAATGGGTGTCAGTCACCGAGGCGAATAGCCCCTATCTTCTGGAAAGAGCCAGAAACAAATTGTCAGGTGATTCCTCTCCAGCTTTGACGTTTCCACATTTCCCAGTGGGAGATGGCTGGGCACAGGAGCGGGGCTGATCATCCCTGAAAGTCACAAACCCCTGAGAAGTATTCTCAGATCCCTGCAAAGCATCATCTTGTTGGACTTCCTTACAGTACCCTTCTTCATGTCCCAAGACTTTCAGAGCATGTCTGACTTCTCAGATTTTCAATAGGCTTGCCGTGTTTTTAAACACTTGGTGAGGGGGAGCCAGCTCCACATGGTGTCCTGTGAACCTGCTCTCCCCCTCTGAATTGTGCCAGACTCTTGCAAACCTGGCCCTGGGTGAAGGCTTGGAAGTTGGGAGAGGGATGGAGGCTAGTTGCTCATTGCTGCACATTTCAAAGCCATTGGTGACAAATGGCTGGCTGGCCACACACACACACACACACAGCAATGTTGGAGAGCAAGCCCGGAGAGCTCAGCCTGAGCCTGGTCATGGTGCCAGGCAAAAGGAGACGTTCTCCTTCCATGCTTGACGTGGCAGACCTTGCTGCTACCATACTCCGGGAGTTAGCTCTCTCTTCTTCACTCAAGAACTTGCACCAAGGGAGATTTTTTTGGTAGCACATTGAAACTTCTTGGGATTCTCACCATTAAAATTTTTCTTCTAATATGAATCCTTTCCCTGTTATAGCATGAAATAGTTCACTCTGGCCCCATGCTCAGTAGAAACAGCTGTCTCCAGAAAGCAGAAATGTTCTCTAACTGTGGGATTAGGCATTAACAATAGGATGGAAAATTAGGGGAGAGGAAAGTTTTCCAGTCTATGTTTCTTTTTTCTTACATTAAAAAAAAAAAATTGCTGCCTTTCTGAGCTCTTTCGCTATTGACTCTGCTCCTGAACTCCTTGTCTCTCTGGACTCCTTGCGTTCTGGAGCCAGCTGGAGTTTCTCCAGTGACCTATGCCTGTAGACCGAAGCTACGCTTCAGAAACATGCTTCCCAGATTCTACGTAAGCACACGGGGGTTGATTTGGAGGCTATCCTTGGAGCAGCAGCCACACTCTATAAGAGCAAAAAACCAGCTGCGGTCTTTGGAAAACCTGTCCAGGAAAAGCAGGCATGCAGAGTTTCCGGGACAAATTCTCTTTTGAGATGGGTAAAGCTGGGAGCTGCCTAAGTTATGAATCACCAGGTCATCTGCAGCGGAGGGCCAGCATGGAGGGCAGAGCCTTTAGATGAGGGGTGAGGGTTCCGTGAAGAGGGTCTCCACTCCTCTCCTGCCAAAGGGGCTCCGTTTCTTCCTCAAGTCCTTTGATGCTCCACAGGGGAGAAACCACATGCAGGACTTTGTGGGGGTCTGGAGCTTGGGGTCAGGCTTTTCAGGCTGGCAAAGAGGGGGTTAAGGCAGTGACCAGACAGCAGCCTTTTGGCAGCGCAGGCCTCCTCTGGCTGAAGGAAGGATATAGCTGTATGAACTGCCTGCTTAACAATGCCTCACATGTCCCCAGGGGCTGGCCTGCAAATAGATTTCATCTTGCTTTCTCTTGTACTTTTTGAAGCTTCCTGTTTTCTCACGGTCCTTTTGGACAGTTT